ACTGTAGGGGTGAGACGGGTGAGTGGGGTTCCGAACCCGACCGCATAGGTGAGACAAGTAAGTGGCGTTCAAAACCAAACTGCAGAGGTGAGTCAGGTGAGTGGGGTTCCAAACCCAACTATTGAGGTGAGACGGGTGAGTGTGTTTCAGAGCCCAATTGCAGAGGTGAGACGACTGAGTGGGGTTCAACCCAACAGCAGAGGTGAGATGGGTGAGTGGGGTCCATAATCCAACTGCGGAGGTGCGACGGGTGAGTGGGGTTCAGAACCCATTTATAGAGCTGAGACAGGTGAGTGGGGTTCAGAACTCAAGTGTAGAGGTGAGGCGGGTGAGTGTGGTATAGAACCCAACTGTACTGGTGAGATGGGTTATTGGGTTTCAGAACCCAACAGTAGAGGTGAGACGGGTGAGTGCGGTTTAGAACCCAACTGGAGAGGTGAGACAGGTGAGTGGGGTTCAGAACCCAACTGCTGAGTTGAGACGGGTGAGTGGGGTTCCAAACCCAATAGTAGAGGTGAAACGATTAGTGGAATTCAGAACCCATTTACTGAGGTGAGAACCCAACTGCAGAGGTGAGACGGGTGAGTGGGGTTCAGAACCCAACAGGAGAGGTGAGACGGGTGAGTGGGGTTCAGAACCCAAATGCTGAGTTGAGACAGGTGAGTGGGGTTCATAACCCAATAGTAGAGGTGAGACGATTAGTGGGGTTCAGATCCTTTTTATTGAGGTGAGATGGGTGAATGGGGTTCAGAACTGAACAGTAGAGGTAAGATGGGTTTGTGGGGTTCAGAACCCAACTATTGGGGTGAGACGGGTTAGTGGGGTTCAGAACCCAACTGGAGAGGTGAGATGGGTGAGTGGTGTTCAAAACCCAACTGCAGAGGTAAGACGGGTGCATGGGGTTCACAACCCAACTGCAGAGGTGAGACGGGTGAGTGGGGTTCAGAACCCAACACTAGAGGTGAGACGGGTTAGTGAGGTTCAGAACCCAACTATTGAGGTGAGACGGGTTAGTGGGGCTAGAACCCAACAGTAGAGGTATGATGGGTTTGTGGGGTTCAGAATCCAACTATTGGGGTGAGACAGGTGAGTGGGGTTCAGAACCCAACTATTGGGGTGAGACGGGTGAGTGGGGTTGAAAACCCAACAGTAGAGGTGAGACGGGATACTGGGGTTCAGAACCCAACAATTGGGGATGGATGGGTGAGTTGTTTTCAGAGCCCAACTATTGAGGCGAGACAGATGAGTGTGGTTCAGAACCCAACCGCAGAGGTGTGATGGGTGAGTTGGGTTCAGAACCCAACGGTTGAGGTGAGACGGGTTGGTGGGGTTCAGAACCCAACTGTTTAGGTGAGACGGGTGAGTGGGGTTCAGAACCCAACAATTGAGGTGAGACGGGTGAGTGGGGTTCAGAACCCAACAGTAGAGGTGAGACGGGTTTGTGGGGTTCAGAACCCAACTGTAGAGGTTAGACGGGTGAGTGGGTTTCAGAATCGAACTGGAGAGGTGAGATTGGTGAGTGCGGCTCAAAACCCAACCGCAGAGGTGAGACGGGTGCGTGGTGTTCATAACCCAACTATTGAGGTGAGACGGGTGAGTGGGTTTTTGGACCCAAATGGAGAGGTGAGATGGGTGAGTGGGATTCAGAACCCAACTTTAGAGTTGAGACGGGTGGGTGGGGTTTTGAACCCAACTTTAGAGGTGAGACGGGTGAGTGGGGTTCAGAACCCAACTAATTGTCCACTCATCATGCGACTTCACGAATAGCAGCCGGCCCCTGATATTTTTCCAGAACAGTCATGGCTTCTACGACTGCTGCACCGTGACTAGACCCGCGGACCTTAGTGTGTTTTTAATGCTGCAAGGGTGCACAGTCAACCGTGCAACGTTTCCCTTAGTTTCGCGGTGTCTACGCTAGATTTGACCACTCTATTCGTTATTTTACCCTACAATGGTACGAGAATACAATCCGTGATAAGATGGGTCCGACCAGCTAATTGCATCTTTGGCCACACCTCTGCATGGCTAGTCTCAAAGATACCATTCAATACAAAATGGTCTACAATACTCTTGCATACGCCCATTTTTTTCACGATTTTCCTAGTGCTCACCCCCTTATGCAAAATGATGGGTCCAAGAAGAGTGCAAGAAGTTCCTTGCCGAGGATTGTACTAACTTAGTAGGTAACATGCCTAGGAGGGTGTAGGTGGTAAGCAAGGCCAAAGGTCGGTGGGCTATGTACCTGAAACACAGTTATGAGGTTTGCTCTCTCTGCTTGGAAATATTTGTCCGGATGTACGATTTATTTGTCTTCTGGGATATCAGTTAGACCCAGTGTACTATTCTGGATTTTTGTGCGGTTAACGTATCCACTATGTGCTCCTCCCAAAGCGTACCACCATTAAACATTAAGGCTTAATGTATAGTGGTCTTAAAGCCTAAAACCCCAAAATATTGCAAAACATATGGACAATTGTTTCCGCCACTGTAAGTTGACACACCCCTAGGACAAGGGGCAGTGCCTAGCAAGAGACACGGAGCTCAGGGTGGCACTACTAGTCTAACCTTTGAGGCAAGGGTCTGAAGACTAGTCAGAAGAGTACAAACTTGACAAGAGCAACCCAGGGCGGCACTACAAGTCCGGCCTCTGGAACAAGAGCCATAAGCAGGGCCTCAGATATTATGATGTTTTATCCTTAATTCTTGATTTTCATGATGCCAATTAGGTGCCAATCCTGAAAAATATGGTTAAGGTCATTTTCCACCTTGTGAATTCAGTTTTGAATCATAGTGCAACCCTGAGGATTCAGTAAAGTGTTCGTGTACCAGCCCTGAGCTGTCAGTATTGTTGTGTGATGTCATCATATGCTATCACATTCTGTCTGCCTCCCATCCCATATTTTTTCAACTTGCATGTGTGGTTTGAACGTGTGCAAGAATTTGTGTGTGATGTGTTCTGGAGTTTGGGAATGTGTTTTGTGTTATTTTGTTTGAGCAGGTTTTTTGTGATGATAGATCTTGAGAAGATCTTTCCGACGCAACGAGAATCCCTTCAATCGGAGCAAGAACGCGAAAGCTATGAAGATTCAAAGTTCATGAGCTTGCGTTACAATTGCGGCGGTTACAAAGTGAAGTTGTGGGGTGACTTTATATGGAGTTGGGACCTTTGGGGTTGGGGAAATTCGTCACTCTACTGTAACAGCTGCAAATTGGTTGGGAACAACCAAGCTAGGTTGGCAAGGGTGGCCAACTTGGATGGATTGGTTGGGAAGGGACAAATGTCAAAGTTGGGGTTCCTATAGGGAGGGAATCTTTGTGCTTATGGGGTTTCCTTGGTTGGGGACTCTCTTGGGACCTTCCCTCTCATCCCTCTCTTCTATCCCAACCTTTCTCTTGCTCCTTATAAATTCCTTGTGAGATTCTTGAACTTTGATTGAACTCTTGAGATTGAGTTAAGTTCTCCTCCTACAGCTTACCCCCTAATGCGTCGAAAGCCATAGCGTCGCGAATACTTCATCAATCAACATGATTCAAATTGGGAACGGTAGCTGAGATAAAGAGCTACAACATATCCAAGTTTCGCGACATTCCAACGGCTAGGTTTTCGTCGACGTCGTTTCTTGTGAAGACGACTTTTCTGTCCAGAATTTCGGATTTATATTTTGAGTAATTCTAGCTCCTAAGTTCACCTAGACTCCGTCCTTAATCCTAACAAGTGGTATCAGAGCTGTATTAAGGACGTTGAGAGGAGTCTACAGAAGTGTGAAGACCCTTCTAGACCCACCATGGCCTGTGGGTGTGCCTAAGTGGTGTTCTAAAGGTTGGATGTGTCTTCCGCTAAGGGAAACTCTGCCGAAATTTCGTGGACGCCGACACTTGTGAAAATATCGAGGGAGCTGAGTGTGGACAGCAAAGGGGGGCTGAAATTCGTCATTTCTCAAGGAGAAGATGAATGAGAGAGGAGGAGATGCTAATGGAAGAGGAGCTGTAGCTGAGAAGACAAGTGAACCGCCGCCATCAAAAGTTGAAGCTTTGGATGGCTCCAACTATGAGGAATGGAGCGGACGGATGAGAAGTGCCTTCAAACGCTACAAGCTACTGAAGATTGCTGTTGGGGAAGAGAAGATGCCGGAAGAAGGCGAAGCACGTGAACGGTGGATTGAGAAAAGCACGGTGCTTTTCGACCTCATCCTTCAATCGGTCAACAAGGAGATGTTCGAGCACATCAAGGATCTTGTGGAAGCGGATGATTCGGGTCCAAGGGCGTGGAAACTACTACGCGATGTGATTCAGCCCAACACTCTCCTGATGGTGATCGTGCTCGAGAAGGAACTTGCTGCCATCTCCATGCGACCAGGGGACGATGTGAAGCCGGTCCTTGACAAGATCAAGGACACCTATGCAAGGATGGCAGCAGCGGGCAGCAGTGTATCTCAGCTGCAGCAGTGCACCAAGATCATCTCGGTGTTGGACAACTCGTGGGATAACCTCATCCCCACCCTCAACTCTCAGCAAGATCAATGGACACCTGAGTGGCTAAGGCAGCAGATTCTGCAGGAGGACTTCCGCAGACGCCATGTGGGAGGCGGTGCTGCCACTAAGACTGCTGAGGGGTATGGAGCTGCAGGGCGCGGCAGAGGAAGAGGGGGTTGGAAAGGCCGAGGCCGTGGGAGGAGCTTTGGCAGAGGTAGAGGCCGAGGTGACTATAATGAGGGGCATGGGAGCTCTAGTGGCAGGGGGAGTACCAGAATGGAGGGCACGTGCTGGTACTGCAAGAAGGTTGGGCATCCTTGGTTCAAGTGCTTCAGCAGGCTGGAGGGATGGGCACCTCCAGGCATGAAGCCGCCCAGTGGTGAACGCGCACAAGGTGGCGCTGTGCAAGGCTCAGGTGCACAAGGTGAAGGTGCACAAGGTAATGCCTATCCTGGTTTGTTTGTTATGGTTGAGGATGTGCATGGGCATGAGGGTGATGTGGGATCTGTGGGAAAGGTTGTGATGCACCCTCTCACGCACTGGGTGATTGATTCGGGTTGCACCAGTCACATGACCCCACGGGCAGATTTGCTTGATGAGGTAAAACCCCCTGGGAAGATCAAGTATGTGGCAGCAGCGTCAGGTGCTTTGCTCCCTGTCATTGGTGTTGGAAATGCCAAGGTTAAGGGAGCTAATGGGGAGCTTGTGGGGCTTGGGAATGTTCTGCTGGTTAAAGGCTTGTCTGCTAACCTTCTCTCTGTGCGACGACTGCAGAAGAGCAAGGCCGAAGTGACCTTTGGACCAACCAGCTGCCGTGCTAAGCTTGGGAAGAAGGTGCTATGGAGTCTGGAAGAGGAGACCAGTTGCATCAAGGACCTGTGGCAGCTGCCCATCATCCCATGGAATGGGAAGACTCCAACAGCAGCAACGGCAGCAGCGGCAAAGGCAACAGCAGGAGGAGATGCAACTGCACCAACTGATGGGGTCCTGGAAGCAGTCAAGAAAGTGCAGCAGCAGCAGAGACATGGTGAGGTGCTTGCTGGTGTGGATGCGAGTGCGGCATGGGCTAAGGCTTCATCAAAGAGTGGAGAGGCCGATTGGGAGACATGGCATGAGAGGCTGTGTCATGTGAACTTCCCTATGCTACAGAAGTTGGTAAAGGATGGGAGCCTGAAAGGCTTGGAGGTGAAAGGGGGAGTGAAGGAGATTGGGAGCTGCCCTACATGCTTGGAGACCAAGTTCTCCAAGTTCCCCTTCAACAGCACTACAGGACCAGCCAAGACCCCACTTGCACTTGTGCACATGGATGTGGTGGGGCCCACAAGAGCCCCTTCCCTCTCAGGCAGCCGCTATTTCTTGACAATTGTGGATGACCACACTCGAGCAGTGTGGGTTTACCCTTTGAACAGCAAGGGGGAGGTGGCAGCGGCTGTCCTTAAGGAGTGGATGCCGAGAGCTCAGAGGGAATGCGGACACAAGGTGAAGGTGATCCGTAGTGACAATGGTGGGGAGTTCATTGGAGCTGATTTTGAGGGGGAGTTGAAGAGGAAGGGGATCCAACATCAACTGACAGTGCCCTACAACCCGCAGCAGAATGGCGTGGCTGAGAGGTTCAACAGGACCCTGCAGGAGGGGGCACGCACTCTCCTTGGGCGTGCAGGGCTGCCTGATCCGTTTTGGGTGTCTGCACTGAGGCAGGTCGCCCTTGTGAAGAATAGGGTGCTGGCTACAGTTGGAGATAAGGAGTGGATCCCATATGCCAAGTGGTATGGGAGTGCTCCAGCGGTGAACATGCTGAGGGCATTTGGGTGCATGGTGGTGTTTCATGTGCCCAAGGAGAAAAGGGGGAAGTTGGAGGCTTCTGGAAGATGGGGTGTGCACTTGGGGATTGCAAAGGATCACAAGGGGTGGCTGCTATGGGACCTGACCACCCAGAAGCTGACAGTGTCAAGGGATGTGAAGTTTCTTGAGTCCCTGTACTATAAGGAATGGAAGCAGCAGCAACAGAAGCTTCCATCTACACCACTCATTGTGGAGGCAGATGAGTTGCAGCAGCCTTCAAGACAGGTAGAGGTTGCAGTGTCAGAGGAGGAGATGTCTGGGGTGACTGAGGAAGGGGGAGCAGCTGAAGTAGAGCAGCAGCAGCAGCAGCATGAGTCTCCACCTCGAGTTCCACACCCGCCTGAGCGTCCTAGGAGGGATGTGCGCCCTCCAGTGAGGCTGACCTATGGGGGAAGAGGCAAGCCGAATGTGGTGCAGGCTGGGAGTGTGGTTGAGCAGATTGAGGAAGATGAGATCGCTCACTGCTACTGGGCACCAATCCCTGAGCCCAAGACTCGAGAAGAGGCCTTGAATGGACCAAATGGGGAGAAGTGGAAGGCGAGTGAGGATGAGGAGTTTGGGTCCCTGATTGAGAACGAGACATGGGACCTGTGTGACTTGCCTCCTGGAAAGAAGGCAATCACTTCCAAGATGATCTACAGGCACAAGTATGGACCTGAAGGGGAGCTGACCCGATACAAGTCTAGGCTTGTGGCAAGGGGGTTTCAGCAGACAAAAGGGAAGGACTATGATGAGGTGTTTGCTCCTGTGGGGAAAGGAACAACACTGAGGGTGCTGTTGGCGATAGCTGCACTCCTGGGATGGAAGATACGGCAGATGGACATTGTGACTGCCTTTCTGAATGGGATCATTCTGGAGGAGGTGTATATGAAGCAGCCAGAGGGGCTGGATGATGGGAGCGGCAGGGTCTGCAGGCTGAAGAAGGCCATCTATGGCCTTAAGCAGGCGCCTCGTGCATGGTATCACAAGTTGGAGGAGGCGCTGCTGGCTGGGGGTTTCAAGAAGAGTGAGTGTGACCCCAGCCTGTTCCTGCTGCAGGAGAAGGATGAAATCCTCATGCTCTTGGTGTACGTGGATGATATCCTTCTCTTTTCTGCATCAACTGCTTTGCTGGACAGCGCAGAGCAGATGCTAGAGATGCAGTTCAAGTGTTCCAAGATGGGTGAGGTGAAGTACTACTTGGGGATGCATGTGGAGAGAGATGTGGAGAAGGGTGTGCTGAGGTTGCACCAGAGGAAGTACTGTGAGGGGCTGGCTGAGAAGTATGGGCTGCAAGATGGGGGAAAGCCAGCAACACCACTACCTTCAGGGTTTACTGTGGAGCCATGTGCTGATGAGGAGGTAGTGGGTGAGAGTGACAGGAAGCTGTTTCATTCGATGGTTGGGTCGCTGAATTATGCTGCAAATCATACACGGCCTGACATTGCATTTTCTACATCACGGTTGGCTAGTGTGGTCTCACGCCCTAGTCATGAGCAGCTGGAAGCGGCCAAGAGGTTGGTCCGCTATGTGAGTGCTACGGCATCAGTGGGATTGGAGTACAGTGGAGTGAGGCAGCGGTTGCAGAGAGGTGCTGCAGATGTGAAGAGTGGTGAGATGCTCTTGAGTTGCTATACTGACGCTAGCTTCAACTCAGTGAAAGCGGATGGCACCAGCATTGGGGGTTATGTGTGCTTGCTAGGAGGTGGTGCTGTGAGCTGGCGCAGCAAGAAGCAGAATGAGGTGGGATTGTCCTCATGTGAGACTGAGTACATGGCCTTACACCATGGGGCCAAGGAAGTAGTGTGGCTAAGGCGTTTGTTGGAGGAGTTGGGAGTTGGTCAGGAGAAGCCGACAGTTGTGTTTTGTGACAATGAGTCCGCTGTGAAGCTCGCCAAGAATGCTTGTCTGCATGGGCTGACAAAACACATAAGGCCTAAGTGGCATTGGGTGAGGAGACTCCTTGATAAGGAGGTGCGGCTGGAGATAGTGAAGACCCATCAGCAGGCAGCAGATATTTTCACCAAGCGTCTGGCGGAGGCGGATCATTGGAAGGGCATGAAGCTTGCTGGGATGAGTGTGCATTGAGTATGCATGCTTGAGATGTTGGTATGGTGGATGATGGTTGGCAGCCAGAGGGGGAGATTGTTGTGTGATGTCATCATATGCTATCACATTCTGTCTGCCTCCCATCCCATATTTTTTCAACTTGCATGTGTGGTTTGAACGTGTGCAAGAATTTGTGTGTGATGTGTTCTGGAGTTTGGGAATGTGTTTTGTGTTATTTTGTTTGAGCAGGTTTTTTGTGATGATAGATCTTGAGAAGATCTTTCCGACGCAACGAGAATCCCTTCAATCGGAGCAAGAACGCGAAAGCTATGAAGATTCAAAGTTCATGAGCTTGCGTTACAATTGCGGCGGTTACAAAGTGAAGTTGTGGGGTGACTTTATATGGAGTTGGGACCTTTGGGGTTGGGGAAATTCGTCACTCTACTGTAACAGCTGCAAATTGGTTGGGAACAACCAAGCTAGGTTGGCAAGGGTGGCCAACTTGGATGGATTGGTTGGGAAGGGACAAATGTCAAAGTTGGGGTTCCTATAGGGAGGGAATCTTTGTGCTTATGGGGTTTCCTTGGTTGGGGACTCTCTTGGGACCTTCCCTCTCATCCCTCTCTTCTATCCCAACCTTTCTCTTGCTCCTTATAAATTCCTTGTGAGATTCTTGAACTTTGATTGAACTCTTGAGATTGAGTTAAGTTCTCCTCCTACAGCTTACCCCCTAATGCGTCGAAAGCCATAGCGTCGCGAATACTTCATCAATCAACATGATTCAAATTGGGAACGGTAGCTGAGATAAAGAGCTACAACATATCCAAGTTTCGCGACATTCCAACGGCTAGGTTTTCGTCGACGTCGTTTCTTGTGAAGACGACTTTTCTGTCCAGAATTTCGGATTTATATTTTGAGTAATTCTAGCTCCTAAGTTCACCTAGACTCCGTCCTTAATCCTAACAAGTATGCCTTCAGGGATAACCCTGATTCCTCTAGTCTTGCAAATGCAAGTGTGCCACTTGGGTACCCCTTTCTTTTTCCGCCCAAAAACATCTCGGCTAAGTCCTCAATGTTAGCGACAATCCTTTGAAACCCCCCGCCACTCCGAAAATTCAGCTTAGTCATGAATGCTAGAGACAGTCCTCCGAAGCTCCCTTGGTCCTCGATGCTAGAGACAGCCCTCCTCCCCCCCCCACTCCCACTAGAAAATCTCGGCTTCTCCTCACTGCACAACCCACAACCCCTACGCAACCCTAAAATCTTGACTTCCATCGAAATCGTATTGCCCAGGTTACGTCAAATCAAAACTCCGTCAAGTACTTCAGCATCCAAACCACACTCATCAAACTGGCCGTCATAACCGCTCGATGAGGATCTAACGTCGATTTTTTCACACAAGTCTCCGTTTCTTTTTGTGGGCCATACGCCTTTGACTTCGTCTGAATTTTCAGGGGCTGAATTCGTTTTCAACTAAAAGCTCATGCTCTCAGCAAAATTATGTCTGACAGTTGGACAATGAAAAAATCCTTGGTCTGATTTGCCCCGTGGGCTGAAGTTCATGCAAACTCGGCCAATCGCGGCTAATTGCTCAACCCAGCATGGACACCCTTCAAGTGATCCATCTGGCGAGTTGGACCCAGCTTGATTGGGAATTTGGGACCCTTGAGATGATATAGGGGGGACAAGTGTGCGGGCAGCAGAAAATTTCGTTTCGTGTTGGGCAGGAGCTCGGCAGCGAAAGTGCCTGCCCACGCGACGAATTTAGTTTAGTGAGAACAGGTGTGTTTACACATAAGCTAGTTGACGTGCCTCAATGGAACCATGCATGTTACTGCAGTCTTTCGGCCGCGATTGAATTCGGTTGAACCTGGTTTCAAACGTTTGGACACGACATGGGAAAAGGGTTGCGGGCTGGGGTCATGGAAAACGCGCCTTCATTTGGCTGCTCCAGATGGCGAGAAATGTGAACCTATCAGGAAGTCATTTTGTGATTTTGCATGAGTAGTGAACACGGGTCCAACTTGAAGTCAAGTTGGGGCCACTTAGATGATGACGAGGTAGTGGGGTTGCACAAGTGCGTGCAACTTGTTGCAGCTCGCAAACTCTCGTTTAGAACTCCCCCAGCCAATCACATGCTTGCACATGTTCGCTCTGTACATCACGCCTGCGTTGTCGAACTGCCATGACTCTGCCGAATGGGGCTGTCAGTCCATTCAAAAAAATTGAGTTTCTCTCAGTTTCAAGTTGGACCCACCTTCACTAAAATAGTGACTTCGCAAGGTTTCCCGCATTTCAGAATTTACCCTGAGGCCACAGTATATAAATCGGGAACCCCCTCGAGGAATCAACAAGAACATTAGCAGCAAACCCTGACTAGTACACGCTTTTTTGGGGGCCCGCCCTGATTGGTCAGGATGCCTGAAATCCTATTTAAGGCCCTGACCACAAGGCCAGTCAAGAAAATATGAGTAGTACACAATCAAGGTCCTAGCAAGTGAGGAGCTACTGGAACTAGACCAAGCTGTACACGGTGCCGCTGATGATCTTTAGGCGCAAGCGCATTCGTAAAGATATCAATTGTGTTGGCACCGGAGGCCAAGTATACTATGCGGGCCTGGCGGCGCTGCTGTAGCTCACGCAAGAGGAAATATCGCAGCTGGATGTGATTCGCTCTGCCCTTTAGTTGAGGCTTCTGACACAGGAGGATCATGGCCCTATTGTCAGCGTACAGGACCGGGGCAGAGCTAGGCCGCTCACCTAAGTCTGTGAGCAAGAACGTCAGCCAGCAAAGCTCCTGTGCCGCCATGGCACTAGAGTAGATCTCGGCCTCACAGCTAGACTATGCAACAGACGATGACCGGGTGGACCTTCACGAGATAGCGTCGTCCACCCACGAAGGCTAAAGCAGTAGCCCTAGGAGGACCTGAGCGTCCTTGCGTCGTCCACCCACGAAGCGTCCGTGCGCCCTGCCTGATGCCTACCCTGCATCCTCCTAGCACTAGCCCCATGCCTGATGTACTTGCTAGATAATGCAAAACCCTCTTAGTGGCCGACCAGTGTTGTGATCAGTGTCTGCGTATCACCACAAAGCGAGCCAGGATACTGAGAGGGTATGCAAGATCTGGACGAGTGCAAGTCATCAAGTACATGAGGCAGCCCACCAGATCTGTGTACGGACCACTAGGCTCTACAAACTCCTCATGGACTGGAGCCGTGAGCCTGTGATCTACTGGCAGAGGTGTAGGCTGTGTGGAGGAGAACTGAAAACCGAACCTCTGAAGGACCTGATGCACCACGTGTGATTGTGTGAGAGTGATGGTGCACGCTGCTCTATCTCGGGAGATCTGCAGGCCAAGGTAATAGCGCAGCTCTCCTAGGCCAGTGTAGATGTGTCTCCTCAGCAGCTCAGCCTTCACGGAGGCCAGTGCGTCTCCGTCTGCAGTAGCAAAGACCTGGTCGTCTACGTAGATTAGGATGTAGAATGGATTCAAGCATGAGCGAACGAAGAGCAAAGGGTCAGCAGAGGACGAGAAGAACTGCAGGTCAGCTAACGTAGCATGCAGCGTGTCGTGCCACAAACGGGGCGCCTGCCGCAGGCCGTAAACTGGATGCCAAAGAAGCCACTCGGTCCCAGGGGCGAAGGTGCCATTGAAGCCTGGCAGACAGCGCAGGTAGACCTGCTCGTGCAGACTGTCTTGGAGAAATGTTGCAGAGAAGTCGAGGGAGTGCAGCTAGTAGTCGCGTTGTGCTGCTATGTGAAGCAGCGCCCGAAGAGTGGTCATCTTCAGGGTTGGGGCGAAGGTCTGAAAGAAGTCAACGCCCTCGCGCTGACTGAAGCCTCTAGCAACATAGCGCGCCTTGAACACCGACGGCTCTCCAGGAGAGCGCTTCACCTTGAAGAGCCACCGACCATCGACTACGTTCACCCCAGGTGGGTGAACTGCGTCGACGTAGGTGCCGGTGGATCTCCAAGATGCCATCTCCGTGTCCATGGCAGCTATCCACTGAGAGGCCCAGGGTCCCGAGGTCGCCTCAGTGTAGGTGCGAGGGGTTGGGATGTCAAGAACGTCTGGGTCACCCTCAGGGACTAGAAGCAAGGAGGAGAGATGAGGAGCGGCCTCGGACAGGAAAGCTAGCTCGAACTATCTATCCTCTGTGACATCACTACCAAGGGCACGTGCATCCCCGACGGATGGAAGATGGGCAGGGCTAGAGACCAAAGCAGTGGCATAGTCAAGGCGGCGGGTAGAGGCAGAGTCAGAGATAGCAGCAACAAGCGCGTCAAGGTTGGAGACACGAACGGGCGGGTCGGTAACAAGAGAGGCGAGGACCTGAGGAACAAGGGGACTAGTAGCACAGAGATAGTAAGAGAGAGGAAGTGGAGAGACAACAAGGGAAGACTCAAGAGGCGATGGGAGAAGAGGAGAACGAGACGCGTAAGAACGGAGCAGCATAGGGTGAGAATGCTGAACCAGGGAGAGAGGACGAGCACGAGATGGACGGCGAGACTAGAAGTGGGTGGGAGGCGTCGGATCAAGAGACACAGGAGGAGAACGAGGGGGGAAACGAGCTGGGGACAGGTCTGACGGAGGAAACACAGGGCCGTAGATAGGCGGAGGAGGGGGCGCGGGGGGAGGCGGGGGCGGGCGGTCGGGGGAGAGAAGACCGAGGAGGCGAAGGGCGGACACCGGCGGTGACTGCTGCTGATGCTCCATGCCGACACATGAGCCTCCCATTGCACCATGGCTACCCCCGGGACTCTCCACGTTAGCACCCCCAGGACAAGCACCCCCAGAAAAAGAACCCTCTCAAGCACCAGTGCCACCCCCAGGACCGCCGAGACAAGCCGCGATAATACCCCCCAGACTAGCACCCCCAAAACTAGCACCCCCAGGACCAGCACCCTCCTCAGCGCCTGCAACCCCTTGAGCTCGCGGACCTCTGCGGTTGCGGCGGCGATGGTGGCGGCGGCTGCTGCTGCGGCATGTGCTGCTGCTGCAGCTGTGACGGCGGCGGCGGAGGAGACATCGGGGCGGAGACAAGCGGCGAACCCTGAGCCGTAGGGTCCCCAGAGTCAGCAGACTCCTCCGCCAGGGAAACCGAGGGAAGGGGAGTGACGTGAGACACACCAAACAGGGCAGGATGGGGAGGGAGGGGAGCAGGAGCTACCGAGGGAATGGGGACAAAGAACAGAGTCGGGGTAATCAGGAGACCTCGGTGGGGAAAGTGGGTGTAGAAGGAGACAGACTCGTCAAAGGTGACATCACGCGAGTGAAAGAAGCAGTGAGACGGAGGGTGGTAAAAGTGCCATTCAGACGCATCGAGGGGGAATCTAAGGAAGACAGAGGCACGAACGTGAGCATGGCAGCCCCAGACATGGAACGTAGATGTGTCACCAAGGGACCCGGTCCAGAGGAGGGTTGGCGAAACTTGCGGCCGCTGGGAGTGTGGCCACATGTTAAGTTGGCGAGCGGCATAGCGAACACCGAACGGCTACATAAAATGGGGTGCACCGGCATGGATCATGGAGGTACGAGCCACCTCCATGACCAAACCGATGCGTCGCTCAACGACCTCATTCTGCTGCAGGGATAGAACGGGCCAAGCCGACCGGAGGTGAACTCACCGTCACGGTCGGAGTGGAGACGAGGCACAGGCAGGGCACGCTGTACTCGCGTATCTACGAGCCACGGGATAAGAACGTCAGGGACATCGGTCTTCCGGTCCAGGGGAAACACAGTGGTGTAGCGCGTGTAGTCGTCGGTGAGCACTAGAAAGTAGCACTCGCGACGCTGCCGAGGGACAAGGGCTGGGCCCCAGACGTCTAGGTGCAGGGTCTGGAGTGACGCAGTGGTGGAGACAAGACCATGCTGGGATATGTGACGCAGACACGAGAGTGCGGGGTGACCTAGGCGGTGGAGCCACAGAAGTGACGGGTGAGTGAGCGACTGACACGAGCAAGCCGCAGCGGCCTGGGAAGGCGTGGCTACCTAGGGGGACGCCCCCACCAGGGGGGACGCGGTGTCGAGCGTAAATAAGCCAGACACGGGGTCCAGGGGGAACGTGGTGAGAGGGGTACTAGTGGCGGCCTCGGTACAGACTGCATACCACTCGTGTCCAGGGAACGTAGTGGTGACGCCGAAGTCCTGAAGGCAGCCGACACCAACTAGGTTCCTGGAGAACGAGGGGATGTGGAGACCCATAAGAGAGCACGAGGGAACTGCCGGACAGGGAAGGGTGATGGAGCTACGTGCAAGTACCAGACCTGAGGAGGGGTCAGCAAAGTGCGACAGCTGCAGGGGCGGGAAGCGGCGTGAGCGCAGTATGGTCACGAAAGAAGTAGGTGGACGCACCGGAGTCCAGTGTGAAAGAGAGCGCGGTGGTAGCGTCTGTCGGCGGAGGGACTAGGGTGGAGCCGAGGCTAAACAAGGCAGGAGGTCCTACGCCTGACATAGCAGGGGAGCCTAGACTACACACTGTGGACACACATACACTAGGCAACACAAGGTAATAAGATCCAATCACACTAGAGTCATCAGCATACATGACATACAAAGCAGAACGAATCTGATCCGCATCCATCTCAAAGACCGGCACATGGCGACGTACGAGGCTGTGCCAGTTGGGGAGGTCTGGCACAAAGTCGAACCGGAGATGGAAGAGGTTGTCGAGGCGGCGGTAGCAGTGGGTGGCGGTGTCAACGGGACAGTCGCAGACGGTGCTGCGGTGGGGGCCAGTCTGAATCTGGTACTGGCAGGTCACCGCACTGGAGCCGCCACCCGACGCCGATTTGCGCGAGCCGCCACCACAGCTACCACCACCAAAACCTCCAGGCCACCACGGCGGTGGGGGTCCCCACGGCTGTCGCTGCTGCTCCTACTGCTGCGACTGCTGCTGCTCCTGCTGCTGCGACTGCTGCTGCTGCTGGTGCTGGGTCTGCTATTGCTACTATTGCTGCTGCTGCTGCTGCTGCGGTCCCGGGGCATTAGCCCCGGTCCCCTCATTTGCACCACCGGCACTCGTACCACCTCCGCCAACTCCCCCACCCCCGCTACCCCTCCCGCCGCCACGCCCCCTACGGGGTCGGCGACCCTTACCATGATGAGGCTGCGTTGAGGCCGCCGCGGCAGTCTCAGCAGCAGGGGCTGTCTCAGCAGCAGGGGCTGTCTCAACGATAGCAGCAGAGACGTCAGAGTAAGTGCACTGGGAGAGAGCACAACCCTGGAAGATAGGGACCATCGTAGTACCGCTGGACTGGACGATAGTGCGCTTGCGGGTCTCTATCGCGGACAGGGTGGTGACAACGTCAGCGAGGGTTAGGTCAGCAGGGTGGAGGCCAAGGAAGTGGTCACGGATAATGGTGAGGCGGTCAGGAAGGCGCGTGGCAAGGAGACAGAGGGTAACGCCGAGGGGGGGAGTGTCACAGGATCGAATGGGCTGTGCGAAGTGCGGAAGAGAATGTAAACTATAGAATGAATGTTTAATGACAATCCCGAGGAACAACACAATATATAGGCGAGCACTCGCGAGGTCTTTGCCGAAATACTGTGAACACTCGGTGCACGCAACAGCTAATCTAGATAACACATACACTTATGATAACCAAGAATAATCCAAATAACCATTGTGGATAAAATAATCTGAGTGATTAAAAAGAGTATTCTAGGTGATCGATAGTGTCCTAGAAAAATGTAGAAATAGTCCTTCCTCCTAGGAAACCTATCCTACTCTCACACTTCCCCCCCTCAAAGCTGGGTGGTATTTGTAACACCCTGCTTGAGTAAGTACTGCCGGAGAGCACGGGTAGCATTTCCCATGTCGGATTCCTTAACCCAACTGTCCTCGAACGGGTCATAGCCCTTCCAACGCATGAGGAACTCGATGTGGCCATGACGTCGGTGTCGATGAGCACGTACAGACTCATTCTCGTACTCAGGTTCTCCGTCGACGATGATATGAGTAGGCGGTGGAAGTTGTCGTCATGAGTAGATGTGATTCGGGTCCTTGTAGGGTTTCAGGAGTTGCACATGGAAGGCATTGTGAATCCTCCATGTGGCCGGGAGTTTGAGGCAGAAGGTTGCAGGAGTAACATGTGCCAGCGACGAAGGGTCCACAGAACCGAGGCCGAAGCTTAGAAGGGATGTGGCTAAAGTCAAGTTTCCTGGTGTCCAACAAAACAGAGTCTCCAATCTGTATCTGATGGTCCCTTCGGCTCTTATCCGCTGTCCTTTCTGGGAGGTTTGCACCTTCTGCAGGCGCTTCTACGTAGTATCCCAGAGTTGATGCATGGCAGTGACGAAGTTGTGTGCCGGTTGGACTTGAGCAGGAACAAGAAGCAACTGTGGAGTGAGGGGATGCCATCCGTAGCAAAGGAAGAACGGTGTCTGTCTCGTAGCAGAGTGGGTAGCATTATTGTAGGAGAATTCCAATAGAGGTAACTGCTGGTCCCACTTGCTTGTTTCGTCCTTGCAAGCAACCCTCAGCAACTGTTCCACGATCTGGTTCAGTGGTTCTGTCTGCCCATCAGTCTGTGGATGGTAGGCGGATGACATTGCCAGACGGGTTCCAAGAAGTCGCATGAGTTCCTTCCAGAACTTCCTAGTAAACTTCGGATCTCTGTCATTATCCAAAGTCCTGGGGATCCCATGGAGGTAAGCGACTCGGTGGAAGAACATGCGAGCTGTTTCTTCGGTAGTGGTGTTCGCGTGCGTGGCGATGAAGTGGCCCATTTTTTAGAATTTGTCGATAACTACCATGATCGTGTCCTGCTGCCGTATGCGGGAGTCCTGTGATGAAGTCCAAGCTCACTGTATGCCAAGGCTGTTCAGGAACGGGCAGTGGTTGGAGGAGGCCAAAATTCTTTTGCATACTGCTCTTCATTCGCTGGCACGTGTCGCAAGATGTAACGAACTCCTAGACGTCTGTCGCCATGTTCGGCCAGTAGTAATATTTTGTGACACCTGTCATGGTCTTGTTGCTGCCAAAGTGTCCAGTTAACGCAGTGTCGTGATATTCCTCTAGCACTAGCTGCTTCAAGGGTGCATAGTTAGCTACCCACAGCTTCTTAGTACCCTTCTTATATGTGAGCCCTTGGTCCCATAGAAGGAGTATGCGTCTATTTGCTGCTGGAATCTCTGGGTCAGTGTTGTAACCATGCTGGAAGAGGCCTTTGAGGAGATGGTTCATCCCTTGCACTTGGAGGGAGGCGAGGTTCGGCGGTTTGCTAAGTGCATCAGCCTTGTTACGCAATCCAGGCTTGTACACGATGTCATAGTTGAAGTCGGTTTCCATGAAATCCACCCACCATACTTGACGTCGTGACAGCGTTGGTTGTGTTTTCAGGTACTTCATGCTGCAATCACTGGCGATGACCATTTTTGGCTTTTGATTCGCCGAAATTGGAGGGGTGCCGCTGCCGCGCGTGGCTTGATATTCTGCTCGTGCTGTAATTATTCTGCTTCATTGACCAATTTCGTGCCCGTTCGCGCCACAGAAATTGCATCGCTTTTTTCTGTCTTACACGAACGTGCATCGAAATGGTCGATCTCAACAGGGTCGGCCGTTGTGGGAAAAGCCAAGCACTTGTGTTAGTAGTGGTTTGATGGGCCACCTTCGTCCGAGCGTCGTGACTCGTGACTCCGGAACATGTCGAATCGTTTGGCAGCAGAGACGAGGTCGTGGTAGCTACTGTAGTTCGATGTCGCCACTTGTCGTCGCACGTCTGGTTTCAGTCCCGCCAGGTACGATTGATTCTTTTTTGTCATCCATAATGTCATGTATTCGCACGTAAAACTGCTCCTCTGCTGCGTGTACTGTGCCACACTCGAAAATTGTCGGTGCCGATTAATATTTTCGCGCGCGATGTAGGCCGAATTTACGTGCTCGAAACGGGTAAGTTGGCTTCCGTCACGAATCCACTTCCACATGGCTTGGCACTGTAGATGTTGACTGTTGTTGAAGATCCATTCGAGAGCTGGGTCGCGCATGAGCGTCACTGCGAACTGAACCATTTTGTTGCCATGAGTCGTCGTTGACCATCCGATCACCGCGAAATAAATTTTGATGGCTCCGATCCATCGAAACGTCACACGATCTGTCGCTGGGGTCAAATGGTTCAGGTGCGCGAAAACGAGATGCCTCGGGTTGGCTCGTTGACGACTACTGCGATGTCGTCGCTGCTGCTTGGCGCGATTCAGCGAGTGCGTCAAGTAACTGTGCGATCTCCTCTAAAAGCGCGTTATGTTATGCTTCCTGCGCCCGGGTCGCCATCGAAAAATTACATGAGGGATTAGTTGCAAAAAGCGGATTCCGTACTTACTTGTCGCCCTTGGCTTGAACTGGCTCGCTCGTGCGGTTTTCGAAGCCCCAGTCGCTAGAAGTGGTTTAAGCTCTGATTACCAAGTGTCACAGGATCGAATGCGCTATGCGTAGTGTGGAAGAGAATGTAAACTATAGAATGAATGTTCAATGACAATCCCGAGGAACAACACAATTAATAGGCGAGCACTCGCGAGGTCCTCCGAGCGAGGCGCGAGTCCAGCTAAAACGTAAATGTTCCAGAGAGGAACCATTTCCTCTAGAAGCAACTGTTCTAGAAGCTCTAGAGGATTCGCTGAAATACGGTGAACACTCGGTGCATGCAACAGTTAATCTAGATAACACATACACTTATGATAACCAAGAATAATCCAAAGAACCACTTTGGGTAAAATAATCCGAGCAATTAAAAATATTATTCTAGGTAATCAATAGTGTCCTAGAAAATACAGAAATAGTCCTTTCTCCTAGGAAACCTATCCTGCTCTCACAGGGAGGCAGTACAGTGAGCTGAGCTTCAGTGCTAACAGCACGGTAGCTAGTCTCGAGTGCACGAGAGCGAGTAGCAAGATCAGTGACACTGGGGAAGGATGCAAGATCAAGGAAGAGCAGGAGGAGAAGGAGACGGCCGGCAGAGGCGGAGGAGGGAGTGGAATAGCGCGCAATGACAGCATCTTAGTTCTCCTTTGTAATCTCTATAGCTTGGTAGCGGAGACGCTCAGACAGGGGGAGGGCGTGACTGATAGCAAGCTGCGCACGCAACTCCCAGACAGACCAGGCGAGCTCAGCAGCTTCAAAAGCCTCACACTCAACGGGCGTGGGGGCGTCTAGGAGGGCAGCAGGCGGGTCAGGGCAGGGGAGCTTACCGTCGACGTGGACGGCCAGGGACTGGCCATCCTGGCGCTGACCCCTCAGCTGGCGGCGGAGGTCGGCGAGCCACGCCTCAAAGTCGACCACACAACCCTCCGTGTCCAGGCGGAGCACAGAGTCTGCCATCACCACGGCTGCAGCAGCTGACAACCGCTAGAGAAGGAGTAGAGTGCGGTGGAGAACGGTGGGGAGCGGTGGAGAGTGGTGGAGTGCGGTGGAGAGCGGTGCAGAGCGGTGGGGAGCGGTGGAGAGCGGTAGGGAGAGTGTAGAGAGCGGTGGAGTGGGTGGAGGAGACAGCCGGCGAAAGCGTTGGCTCAGAGGGAAACTAGGGCCGGCGTTGACGAGAGGCCAGCAGGTCGGGGCAGCTTAGCGGCACGACAGCTCGGCGGCACGGCGGCTCGGCAGCACGGCGGCAGAGGCCGGAAGGTGTTGGGGCCGGCAGGAGCTGGGGGGCCGCCAGAAGCTAGGGCCAGCAGGAGCTGGGGCCGGCAGGAGCTGGGGCCGGTATGAGCTGGGGCTGGTAGGAGCTGGGGCCGGCAGGAGTTGGGGCCGGCGCGAGATGAGGCCGGCGAGCGAGGGCCAGCGGGCCGGGGCTGGCGAGCTAGGAGCCGGCGAGCTAGGGGCCGGCGAGCGAGGGCCAGCAAGCGAGGGCCGGCGGGCAGGGGGACCGCGCGGCTAGGGGCCCGCGGCGGCGGCGCACAAAGGGCTGGCGGTGCGCTGGGGGCCAGCGGCGGCGGTGCACAAGGGGTCGCTAGGGGCCAGCGGCGGCGGCACGCAGGGGGGCGGCGGTGGTGCGCAGGGGGGCGGCGGTGCACTAAGGGCCCAGAGGCGGCAGCGCGCAGGGGGCCGGCGGTGCGCTAGGGGCCGGCGGCACGCTGGGGGCTTGCGGCGAGCTAGGGGCCTGCGGCGCGCTAGGGGCATGCGACGCGCTAGGGGCCGGTGGTGCGCTAGGGGCCTGCGGCGGCAGCGCAAAGGGCCAGCGGCGGCGGTGCGCTAGGGGCCCGCGGCGGCGGCACGCAGAGGGGCTGGCGGCGTGCTAGGGGCCTGCGGTGTGCTAGGGGCCTGCGGCTGCGCGCGCTAGGGGCCTGCGGCGGCGGAGCGCTAAGGGCCTATGGTGGTGCGAGCTAGGGCGGGACTAGGGCGAGTCCAGGGCGGGACTAGGGCGGAAGCGCGGGTGGGGAGGACAAGCCTAGTCTGATACTATCTCAGAATAACGCAATGTTTAGAAACGAGCATACATGGTGGTTTTGTGCAAGTGTGTTGTGTCGAAACATATTCTAGTATGTTATTGTAGACAGTATAGGTTTGTGCCTTAGAGAGTACAACACTTGCCTATATTCTTATGTACTCTCTCATTCTGCATCATACTATCATTCGAACATGGTATCATGAGTAGGTTAGGTCCATCTCTCCCACCGGCGCTTCCGCCCTAGGTCCTAGCCGCCCGTTCCCCTAGCCGGCCCGCCCCTAGTCGGTCGCCGATCCGCCCCCCCCGTTCCATAGCCGGCCCGCGCGTGTCCCGTAGCGGGCCCGTCCCGTAGCCTGCCCAGCCCGTAGTCGTCCTGGCCCGTAGCCGTCCCGGCCCGTAGCCTGCCCGGCCCATAGCCGTCCCGTAGACGGCCCGTCCCGTAGCCGGCCCCGTCCCGTGCCCATCCCATAGCCGGCCCCGTCCCGTGCCCGTCCCGTAGCCGGCCTCGTCCCGCTCCCGTCCCGCGCCCGTCCCGCGCCCGTCCCGTGCCCATCCCGCGCCCGTCCTGTGCACGCCCCGTAGCCGGCCCCGTAGCCGACCCCGTCCCGCGCGCGCCCCGTAACCGGCCCCGTCCCACGCGCCCGTCCCGCGCGCGCCCTGTAGCCGGCCCCGCCCCGCGCCCATTCCGTAGCCGGCCCCCGGCCCGCGCCCTTCTCGTAGCCGGCCCCGTCCCGCACCCCTTTCCGGCCCGCTTCGTGCCCGTCTTGTAGCCGTCCAGCGCCCGTCCTAGTCGGCCCCCGCTCGTCACGTCACCTGCCCGCCCCAGCTCCGTCGCCCAGCTGCCCCTGTCGTGCACTAAAAATCCGCACTGCACCGCATGGTACCGCACTGCACCTCACTGTACCGCACTGCACCGCACTGCACCGCACTGCAAAACTGTACCGCACTGTACTGCACTGCACCGCACTATTTTGCACTGCACCGTACTGTTTCGCACTGCGCGGCCGCTGCATCGGATGGTGAGGCCTCTGGTGTTGTGTCGGTTGTGATTGTTGTTTCTTCTTTGAGTCTAGAAGACTAACGGTTGCTTCTTGCTTTGTGGTTGTCGTTCTTCAAACAGGTCCATCTCCTGTTGTTCAGCATGAAGCTCGGCGCAGAGGTGCATCTCGGGAATTCGTCCGTGGGTGCGAAGAAGCGAGCGGGTGGTTCTCCATTGTGGTCCGAGCCCGGCGAGAACAAGTGTCACGAAGCTTTCTTCAGTGATTGTGCCTCCGCACCGAAGCAGGCGGTCGCGAAGTGTCTGGCAGCGACTCATATACTGCATCGCCTTTTCCCCAGTATTCACTTGTATTGTTGTC